TCCTCTTCTTCCCCCCTTCCTTCCTCCTTCCTTCCTCCCTTCCCCTTCCTTCTTCCTCCCTTCCTCTTCTTCCCCCCTTCCTTCCTCCTTCCTTCCTCCCTTCCCCTTCCTTCTTCCTCCCTTCCTCTTCTTCCTCCCTTCCTTCCTCCTTTCTTCCTTCCTCCCTTCCCCTTCTTCCTCCCTCCCTCCTTCCTCCTCCCTCCCTCCCTCCCTCCTTCTCTCCCTGCCTCCTACCTACCCTCTATTTCATTTGTAAGCACATCAGAGCAGGGATCTATTCCTTACCATCTCCCTCTGCTTACATTAGTCTGTAAAACATTGTGCATGGAGAACGTTGTGTAAACAATAAATTATGCCCAGAGGTATTTTCCAGTTGTTTTGATTCTTTTGCTGTGATTATCAGCAAAAGGACTTTGGATTTCCTGCTTTCCCCGCAGTTTGAGTAATTCGATGAGGCAGACCTGTGAAAGGAATCCCTGCTTACCGAGAGACAACTTATGCTTCCTTTTCCAAGATGCATTCATTGTTTCTCTGGCTCACACAAGGCAAAAGATACAAAACGAGCTGATGGTCTCGTTTCACAAAAAGGCAGCTAGCAAGTGCTGCCTAAATCAGTCATTTTCCATCTCTCCCTCCTGCTCTCTTATGAAATGCAAATTGAAATGACTTTCTCTGATTCTTGAGTACCCCAAATGTTGGGTTAGGGTGAGGCTAGATGTTGGTGCGTGGAGGAGTGTTCATTTATGTTTTTATTACTGTTTTTGTGAGTCACCCAGGGTGATAGCACATGAGATGAATGGCCATGTGTCTTTTAAATAAATGAATACATTCTCCACTTACAAGGTGTTCACTTCCTTTTCTCCTGAACACCGCTCTGGCACCCACATTACTGCAGGAAAAGTGGCAGAGTGGTTATACAAGCGCAGGAATATATCTAGGAGGCCTTTTTAACAGAAAGCATCAGGCCGTTTGTCTGATATCCGGTTGGGTCTCGATCCGTTCTTCAGAGCCATAACTGAATAAGAGATGCATGGAAACCACCTTAGCAAACTGGGATCCCTATTGCTGTGCAGGTTTAATTTAGTTTGTAGGAAACGAATGAGAGAGGCCGGAGGAAGCCATCAGTGTGAGCAGTGGGTGCTTCCATTCCACTGTGTGTGAGTGAGGAGGAGAGATTATATATTCATGAATTGGTACATATGAATTCACTTTTCAATTTAAAAAAAAAAATGGAGATCTGACAGCTCACAAACAATTATGAGGTATGTGCAGCTTTCCACACAGTCACTCTCTTTCCTCAGAATTTTCCTGGCATTCCCCGTGTTTTTTCTCTTTCCTCCTGCCTTCTTTTGTTCGCATTCCCGATCTTGCGGTTATTGGCATTTTTGTACAATAGGATATGGGGGTGGATGGGAAGGGACAGAAAATGGTGAGTTTACTGGTAACTGTGTTGTCAAGAACCAGACCTACTCCCAATCTTAGACGTTAACATGCAAAATGTGTTTGGCCTTTCTGTGCAAGCAGTTCTTAACCGTGGAGGACATTAAAAAGTGATAACTTGTAAGAGCAGGATAACTAACTTGTTGCCCCTCTGGAGGCTTTGAGCAACAATTCTCATACCCCCATGCCACACTTCCACATACACCCTGTGATTGGTGGATAGGAATTAAGGAGCCCCAAATGTCAGCAAGATACCAGATTGCCTAAACTTGTTGAAATAGGGACGCCATGCTTTTTTCTCTCCCACAGAACCTAGGAGGACAGCATGCTAAGCTGAACCCAACCAAAGGAGGATTTTTCTCAATTTATATCAGTGTTGGCAACTTTGAGATGTGGGAATTTCAACTCCCAGATTTCCCCAGCCAGCGTGCTTTAAGATGTGTGGACTTCAACCCCTGCTAGTCCCCTTAATCTGTAAGGGGAGCTCTGGAAAACTATCCAGGTGATCTACTTTCTGTGACTCGGCTAGGTCTACCACTTCCTGCACTTTTGCCCAATCAAGACCCACAGTCTTGGGTTTTGACTAGGTAAGGAACACCATTGGAAACCAGTCAGATCACCTCCTGCTGAAATCAGTCAGATCACCACCTGCTGAAATCAGACTCAGTTTGAGCAATCTTCCTCAGTCTTGGAACTTCTGGAGATGTTGCATTTTCATTCTTAATATCCACAGCAAGCGTGGTTCCATTGGGGAAACCCAAGGCAGAGATGGATCTGAGCTACAACTGATGGAATCCAAACATGTATTTATTTATTTATTTGTTTCAACCCCCAGAGGAGACAATGGCAAATGACAGATGTTTATTTTTTCCAGGCTCAAATGGAGAGAAGGTGAAGTTGGTGGTGTGACTCACATTCCTCAGGGCTCATAAAGCTGTAGCTAAAGTGAGGCATCCAGAGGGTTCTTAATAGGCAAAGTCCACCAGATTTTTCTTGGGTCACTGTCTTCTGGCTGTGCTTTCTCATCCGGGTGGACAGGAAAGCAGCAGTGGGATTGACCGGGGGGTAATAGAAGATGATTCTGTTCTTCACACTTTCCCAGACTTAGCTGTGGGAGAGAGAAGACCATCAAGAGGTCAACATGCCAAGCATTCAACGGAAAGCAGACAAAGACATTTGGGTGTTGGACCTCTTTTCCAAGCCAAACTTGCTTCTCCTTTTAGGGCAATTTATCATTTAAGGTGAATTTCACATCCTGTGTAAGGGGGAGCTGATGAGCTACTTCTTGCTGTTATTTAAACAGAGATTGGGTGGAGGGGCTATAATTAAGCCTTCTCCAATCCACTCCTCTCCAGATGTGTGGGACAAAAACTATCATCCCCAGCATTGCATATTATGAGAGGAGTTGAAGTCCAACACATGTGGGCACCAGCAGGTTGTTTTAATTGCAGAAAGGAGCTGAATTAGTCCTTTCCCTTTCCAGTTTTTGTGATTATACATTGCACTAGGGCCTGATTTAACTGTAGTTCTTGAATAAATCACAGAGCCTAGCTTTGCATATTAATGTAGATTATGAACAATAATTTATAAACCCAACACACTAAGCCATATTCAAGCAAACTACATTATGGGTTAGGGCATTAAGTGAAGTCAACCTAACTTCTACTGTACATACTTTTCTGAGCTCCTTTTGAAGCAATGCATTTCAAAGAGGCAGATGATCTAAGGCAGTGTTTCTTAACCTCAGCAACTTGGACTTCAACTCCCAGCAATTCTGTGAGTTGAAGTCCACACATTCTTAAAGTTGTTGAGGTTGAGAAATACCGATCTAAGGGATCGGCTCTCCAGGTTATAAACCTCTCCAGGGGAAACTCTCCCATGTGCAGAAGAGGCCCTTTGGAAGATGTCCCCGGTGGCAGAGGTTAGAGCCCTCTCTTGCACTGCTCCCAGGGAATGCATTCCTTCAGGAGTTGGGTTTGGCTTCACTCTCATCGGAGAAGACGTTTCTCTTTTCCTAGGTTTGTAATTATTTCAGTATCAATTTTAGAGTCAATTTTAATGCATGGCTTTTAAAACTTGTTTTATTTTTGTGTTCCAAATTTTGTCAGCTGCCTTGATTACTTGCCAGAATAGAAAAGTAGGGTAAGAACCAGATCAGGCCAAGGTCCTTCTTAGTCCAGCCTTAGTAACCAACCAAAGGCTTGTGAGCAGCAGATGGGAGACCCCCCTCTTTGGCTGATATACTGATATTTGAGGGTACCTGGCCTCCACTTGATCCGGTCGAGAGGGCCTACTATGTGTCCCCCCTCCTATGTGAAGTTCATGGGGCAATGGATCTTCTCAGTATTGGCCCCCATTTCATGGGACACCAGCCAGAAGTCTGGATGGTCCCTACTCTGCAAATATTTTGAAAGCAGCCCCAGTACAGTGGGCATTGGGTTAGATGAATGGCACCTTTGATCAATCTATCGTCTGTCTGTCTGTCTGTCTGTCTGTCTGTCTGTCTGTCTGTCTGTCTGTCTGTCTGTCTATCTATCTATCTATCTATCTATCTATCTATCTATCTATCTATCTATCTATCTATCCATTCATTTATATGTCCACCTAACTCAACAAACCGTGTGACTCTGGGTGGTCTACAAAATCTTTAAACAAAAATAACGCATATCACTAAACTTAATAATTAAATGGTGATCGGGACTAAAATACATTATATCATCTGCCCTTCTAAAAGCCTGCAGGCTTTTAAATCACTGATTTCCATTATTTATATCTGTTTAAAATGCTTTTTGTTTTTATACTTTGCTGTAACTTGTCCAGAGTTCGCAAGGATTGGGGCAGGCTATAAATATTGTAAAATAAATTAGTAAATGCGCCGACACAGAATCTTCAGGACTTAATAGACCAACCCTCCAGGAATGTAATGAATCTATCCAATTCCCTTTTAAAGCCATTAATAGTCATCATCATGTCTTGCATATAGATGTAGAGATTATCTATCTATCTATCTATCTATCTATCTATCTATCTATCTATCTATCTATCTATCTATCTATCAATCAATCAATCATCTATCTATCTCACTCACTCACTCACTCACTCACTCACTGAAGGAGATACATTGAATTCTATTAAAGACATAATGAATGGTTTGGAAATGTGGCATTGATCAAACAGGAGTGTAAAACCAAAGACAGCTTTTTGGAATAAAAAACGTTCTGTTCAATAGGAAAAAAACTGAAATTGGGCATGTTTAGAACTTCCCTAATAGTGAAAAGAGAGTGGAAGGAAGACAGAGTCCAAAAGGAGTCCATACTCTACCTGTACTGCAGGGGGCGCTATATTCAACCACCGCAGATTCATCTGGAAATGGGAAGGAAACAACGGTTAATGCCAACTCTGCTTTTCCCAACATCTGAAAGGGATGCCAGCTGTTCCTTTACCACTTTTTCAGGATTTGGCTTTGGAGTACTTATGAAAAAAGGAGGTCTTTCCTCGGGGTGGGGTATGTTGGCTGAGATGCAGTATAGAATTACGGGCTAACAGCTGCATATTCTGAGCTGTCCTGGAGCTCTTTCTCACCTTCGTAATAGTCATACACTTCCACGAATGCAGGCCTCAGATTACTGATAACAATGTCCTGTTCCACCGTGAAAAAGATGTGCTGGGTGACATTGGTCAGCTGCAGAGAAACGGTTCAGATTATTTGAGATTTGTTTAGGCGAGATCAATCTGCACATTTTCAGGTAAGTGCCCCTTGTCCCTTTGCGATGTCTATATATATATTTATTTATTTTATTTCTATTTATTGTATTTATATCGCCACCCATCTCACACCAGGGGACTCTGGGCGGCGTACAACAATTAAAAAGCATAAATACATAAAAGCAGTTCCAAACAAAAAACTGTAAAAACACACAAAATAGGCGGGGATAAAATTAATAAGGGAGCCATCGCAAAATCTCCCTTATATATAGGCCTCGGTGCTCTCTGAGCTTGGTTGTTCGATTGCAGATGTTTCATTACCCGACTAGGTTACATCATCCATGCTAGTCAAATCAAATATTTATTACAGTCAAAGACCAGCAGAAGGAGGGTAGGTTACAGTCAATTAGAAAGCATAGAAAATACATCAGAGTCTAAAATAATTATTATTGTTATTATAAAAAGCAAAAAAATATAAAACAAAGTATATATCTAAAAGGAATCTAAAAGGAGTAGGAGCATTAGATGCGGGGAGGCATAAAAGTTAGTATATGGCAGACTATATGTATCAAATTTCAGAGCATGAGTGTGGGTTAATCCCTGCTTATCTGGGTGTAGGCTGTTTTCGTCTTTTTGTTTCCTTCTTAGCTTTTTTATTGTCTCTTGAATGGTGTGTAAATGTGGCCTATCTCTACGTGTCTATTGATGGCTGATGTGTCTGAATGCCAAGCTTCTGGGAATTCCCTCACGTTTTTGGATTTAGCTTGGTCTAGGAGGCTCACAGTTTCCCAGGTGAAACTATGGTTGAATCTATCCATGTGTTGGGAGATTAAGAAGTTTTCATCGTGTCTTCTGACTGCCAGCTGGTGTTCATGGATGCGCTCTGCTAGTCTTCTGCCTAACACTGGCAGGGCAAGCTACTGTATATAAACAGGGAGCAAACCTCACACTCACTAGCACTGATGTTACCTAGTTTTATGTCCATCAGCGGCTACAGAAAGATGAAGGATTGTTTGTAGCAAGTGAAGAAATTTGATGACATTTATAGGCATGCCCCAAGATTTACAACGTGGTTCTTTCCTTTCCCTGACTCCCACTGTTCCAGCTCCAAGCTCACTAAAATACTATCAAGAAGGTTGAAACACTGAACCCCACTAAGTATCCAGTGAGAGGCTGGGTCTATGTCAGGATCCTTCAGATGTGTTGGACTAGTCCCACAAAGCCTGACTAAAGGGGATGAGAAATGAAGTTCAGAACATCTGGATGACACCAGGTAGCTTACTATAGTCTACCTTTTCCCAAATACTTCAGCGGAGTGTTCCCCTTTGCCTTTGTTTATGACTATCTGCCTTCTTAACATATTAGTGTTTTCGTAATCCATAGGAAAATCAGGAGGGCAAAACCCAAACTCCCTTCCTTTCTTTGTTGGCCTTTGTACAGCTCACCCAGTCCCTCCTTTTGGCATTTCCACTCACCTTCTCCAAATACAGGATGACGTTGCTAGCAGTTATATCTGCTTGGGTAATTGGATTCTGCTTTTCCAGCTGCAAAAGACAAAATAGAGATTTCTTCATTATTGTGGGTCAGTGGCACCGGTCCACCATCAGCCTGTTGTCACCTGAAATCTTGGAAGGAGAACCTGGCTACGATCTTGAAGAGCACACTGAAGAGGTGACCCGCTCTTGACCAGGAGTGGACATCCTTGGATCATGAGCACATTTGCAATTTAGGAAAGTATGCTGTGGTCGCTCTCACAAAATGGCTGCCACGGTGGGCAGGGCCCGTCATAAGACACTCAAAGTGGGGCTTATTTCCATTCTCCATCCCACCCTCTTCCCATGCAGAAAGCCTCTATTTCAACACCTCTGATAGAAATCTTGGATGGTTGGTGATTATGGCAAAATTCAATCAGGCAATTCACAATTCTTTGGTGTGCCATAGTCAGGAGAAATAAATGGTTATTTGGGGAAGAGGCCTAATTGGGCCATTACCTTTTTTACAGACGGCTTATTTGGTACAAATCCAGAGACCATCTTAATATTAATGATCGCCATGTTGGAGACCATGCGCTTGCCGATGTAACTGGACAAAGGAGGGAAGAGAAACAATGTAAGCCCCAGTTATGGTGGGTGTGGGGTTTTTAATCCCTATCTCACAATCACCCATGTGATTTCTACGTAGAAGACCCGTTTCTAGTCTGAGTGGAACATAAAGTTTGTTCAGTTGGGTTCCTGGTGCCCTCTGAACTTGGTGTTTTCCTGCAGACGTTTCATTGCCAAGCTAGGTAACATCACCAGTGCAGAGGGGAGGGGAGGGGAGTTTGCTGGTTGCTTCTAGGTGGTAGCTAGGAATTGGTGGCAATGTGGCTTCCTCTTCGAAGGTTCCTTTATCAGGGTATTGTTTCTCCCTCACTGTTTACCTGGTGCTGTTTTCTGCTGATCTAGGTGCGGGCCTGCTGAAGGTCATGTGTTCTAGGCTGTTTGCTTCCTAGGCTTTTGATCGCATCTTTTCAATAGTGCGTACATAGGATTTGTCTATGGTGCCTGCTGATGGCCGATTTGTCTGAATGCCAACTCCACCACCTAGCTTATATTCTGGCCACTGAAATTTTGGCTTGGGGTCCAGGTCTAGCCAGATGAGTTCGCAGTGTTCAAATGACATCACTGTCCCCTGCTCCCCAGACACTGGACTTAGCCCTGGGCGTTGGCAACACAGGATCATGGATGGCTTTCTGAGTCCTCCCCATCTCCACAAAGACGATTGGGAGGTCGTCATTTTCTGAAGCCCCCGAAACACCTGCAGTGCTGCAACTACAGACAACGTGGTGGAATTTTCTTATTGCCAACCCTACTTAAATTTCTGTATGGCTATGGGAGGCAAGGCATAAAGCTGAGTGCTTGGAGAAGCCCTGTTTTCATGGGGCCACTTTCAGCTTTATCTCAGAAAGAAGAATGGACAGTTAACCTCTAAGTGGTTGACTGTGTGTGTTTAGTTCCAAGCAGGGCTGAAGATGTTTTAAACTACGACTCAACTCCCTCCAAATTACAGTGATTGTCAGGATGATTGAATAAGTTAAGATGCTTGCACGACACACTAAACCCTTCCTTCACCCAGTTAAACATATCATGCAAACAGTGGCTGAATTGGCTGATGTGGGTCTTCCGGGCTGGGTGGCCGTGTTCTGGAAGTTTTGGTTCCTAAGGTTTCGCCAGGATCTGTGACCGGCATCTTCAGAGGACAGGAGCACTCCAGAACACGGCCACACAGCCCGGAAGACCCACATCAGCCATTGTATTCCGGCCGTGAAAGCCTTCGACAATACAGTGGCTGAATTCACGCAACTACCCTAAACGCTCATTAAGAAAACACACTTGTTTTGTTCATATGGCATGCTGTTCCAAATAAGTAAGCCATATCATAGCTTAATGGTTCATACAACTTGCTAAGGCATTAACTAGGTTCTCATAATACCCAGAACCACAAACGAATCAAACTTTATTTTAGATTAGCCAAGCAAGATAAATGAATCCGACCAAGGCCTGCTCAAAGGAGGACATGGTTCTTCAATCCCCAAGGTCACCATCTTTTCCCTTGGATGGCAACCAGAACCCCTTCAGCTGTGACATCATGAAGAGAGAAGTACCTGACGTTTACTGCAATGCCGTATTCTTTGTGGGCCCTGGGTCCAACACACGTTTCAGGAACTGTGCTGACACTTAGTGAAAATGGTTCCTCCCCTGGGTGTGGGTGCACATTGTATTTCAAGGTGGTCTGAGAAAGAAAGGTTTTGTGGATGAGTCATCTTTGTGGATACCTCCGTGGGGGAATTAGCCAGTCCAGGCAATGCAGATTTTCCACTGCTCTCAGGAAAAGCTGGGACCAGACCATACCACATGGATTAAGTGCCATCATTTCCTAGTTCTACATTGCTCAGCCTTCTCCCATCTGATGTCCTGTAGATGTGCTGGACTTCAGCTTCCAATATGTTCAGCCAACTGCCAATAGGAGCTGAGTTTCAACACTTCTGGAGTGCACCAGATGGGAGAAAACTACCATAGTTTTTTCTCTCTGTTGAAAGATGCTTTCTTCTTGCAAACTAGCCAGAGGAGGAGATGTGTGTCCAGAGTAGAAGAATGCAGGAAAACAACCTGAGAGTATGACAGGCTTAGGTTAGTACTATCTTCTGATTAGTAGCAGCTATTCAGGGTTACCCTGTCATGATAGAAATGCAAGGATGAAATCTTGGGCCTTCTTACCAAAGCAAGGGCTAGACTTTTCTCCTCTCTGTTTCCTTTGTTAACCCCTTCTCCTGGTCTAAGCTGTTCCAGGTCTTTCTCCTTACAGGACCATGTTTCTCTATAGCTCCTCTTTCTCTGCACTTCAAAGTCTGAAGTGGGAAGAGAGTTTCTGTCTCTGGCCAATGGACACAGCCTCAAGTCCACGTCTTGCTCACTCAGATGGTTAGGACAGCCTCCTAAAGTAGCAGGGATGGCTTCCTACATTTTGAAGGGATGATGCAATACCCATTATCTTCTCAGAAGGGGAGAGCTATTTGCTGACTACAAACTGGGATCATCTTTGGAGGCTCTCATCCAAGTTCCTCCACCATCTGCTCTAAGTCAGGTGTTTAGCAGAGAGAGCAGAGCCTTCTCAGTGTGTAATTCCCTCCTCGGAGAGACCCACCTGGAGCCAACCTTGTTGTCTTTTTGCAGATAGGTAAAGCTTTTAAAACATCCCCAATTTTTTCAATGTCCTTCAATTTATGAACTTTGTACATTCCATTTTGTTTTTGTGAAGAAGCCTGGAAGCCACACGCTCATAGGCAGTATGAAATAAATATTTTAATCAACCTATAAAAGAGACCCCCTTGCACCCGTCACTGGCCTTTTCTCTCCCAAGGATCCCTAGGAATCTCACCTGCAGGTAGATGCACCCTTCCCCAGTCAGGACTGCATTGTACTCCCCAGGCACACTGGGCAGGTCCTGGCACTGAAGCAGAAGGCTGTTGGTGTTGTCTACGTGGAATTGACTCAAACTGTTCCCACCAGACATCAAGGCCACTTCGGTGCCTGCTCTATTCTTGGAGAAGGTCAAAGCCCCATACATGGAGAGGGCCTGGAGCGCTACCACGGTGTCCTGCAAGAAGAGACCGAGGTGAGGATGATTTCTTCCCCCAAGAATGCAAACATCACATTCTGGTCCCCAAGTCACTCTGATACAATGGTAAGAAGCCAGAAGAGGGTCTCAATGTTTCCTTCACATCATGAGTCCATGAGAGGATGAGAAAGGAATGACACAATACAGGTGTTGATGCCAGTTAAGCTTTCTAGGGAAAAACTGTGGAAAAGTGGCTGGTTGTTACAGGGTGGAGAACTCATACAAGTAGTGAAGTTTGATGGAAACACAAAGCTTGAGAAAACCTGCATGTTTTTAGACTTCTCAAGTCTTCAACTGGGCTGCCATTGTCATTTGCAAACAACCTTTGGAAGTAGTAGAGCTGGACTATTTCACAATAGCAACTTTTCACTTTTATCTATTTCCTTATCAGTACACTTTTTTTCCTGCCTTTCTTCTGGAAGGCAACAACAGTAACCCTGCAAGGGAATTTGGACTGAAAGACAGTGGCTGACCCAAACTGAACTCTGGGTTATTGTGGGGACCTCAGTCCAGCCTAGCACTTTAACCATGATACCTCCTGGTTACCTGAATACACTGTGCTTAGCGTTTTCCTGGCACAGAACATTCTGCTTATCCAAGATAATTGGATAATTGGTGGTATCACCCCTGATTCCTGATTTTCCAGTTCCTAAAGCTAGGCTCGGGTTTAACTGGGCCTTGCAAAAAGTGTTCTCTGTAGGGCCTCCTCCACTATCACAGGCTTTTTATGTCTAACCAGCTGTGGTAGTACTGCTCCACTCCAGCTTGGGCAGTGCCATATGGGAAATTGAAAGGCTTTCTAAATCCATCAGATTCACCCAGCTTGATCGCTGGCTTGGAAAATATTGGTGATGGTGCTATCCGCAATGGACCAAGGGAGAGTCATTCTGTCCAAGGATGCCAGTTGCTGACCCAGCCCTCTTCAACAATGGCTCTCATATTGGTGTGATTTTGCAACCATGCTTACAGACCACCTCTCTGATGGAAGATCTCTTCTCTCAACCCAAAGCACTCCCAACTGATTGAGCCCAAGGAAGGGACCCACCAACCTGTGTTGAAGAAAATCCTCCAGTGGGATTCTGTTGTCTTCTAAGCCATTTCAAAATGTTGACAACTATGGACAGATCTTCCTCAGATAGTGCTGAAAATCTGCACAGGTAAGTAAGGAGGATGTAGGAGGTCATTTCTATCTCTGCTGAGGAAGCACGAGGCTGGTAGTATGGAGACTGGGGTTTCTTCTTCGGCATCACAGGTCTCTCCCAGTGAATGGAGCCATCTTCTACAGAGCCAGAAAGAAAGAAGGGTGAGTCTCGGTTCAGCCCATCCAGGTACCATTCAAGGCATCGCCACCCATCAGGGTTTAAATTCCTTTTCTTCAAATCATCTTTCTCTGTGAACATGGCTTCTTTCTATATGGTTGGGGGGGCCATGTTGCTACCTTTACAGAAAACTGCCCTCACTTTGGATCTTTCCCCTCTGCTGACTTGAACTGCTCTCTGCCCATCCTTTAAATTGGTATAAAGCTAGACCGTCATGAACTTGGTTGCCCCCTTGCTGATTCCTCTCCTCCCTTGTTTGCCCTTCTTCCTAGATGTTGCAGTGTCCAGACCTCCCGGCAAGCCACAAGCAGCAAAGTCAAATGAATTTGATATCCTTCAAGATTATCATTGCATAAGGTTGGCGTAAGGGGGAAGGGCTGTTTCAATACTGGTAGCGTGTAGGACAGTGTTGTCCAAACTTGGCCACTTTAAGATGAGTGGACTTCAACTCCCAGAATTCCCCAG